CAGAGGGTTGTCCCCCAAAATTTCGAGTCCAGACCTACTAGCCAGGCACAAGGCGGTGGAGAGCCTTACTCGTGTGTCCCCCAAGGCGGTGGAGAGCGGGCCCCCAAGGCGGTGGAGAGCGGGCCTCGTGTCCCCCAAGGCGGTGGAGGTGTCCCCCAAGGCGGTGAGAGCGGGCCTCGTGTCCCCCAAGGCGGTGGAGAGGGGGTCTCCTCTCAGCGTAGGAGAGCGGACATCTCCTGCATGTGTCCCCTCAGCGGCGCTGCCACTGTAATGGCGATGCCACGGAAACTGAAAGTTGTAAACCGAAACTTGGCTTCACAATGAGGCTTGGAGCGCATAAGCCGCTCCATGCTTCTTCATCTGTGCTCGCAGCCGCTTGTCATAGAGGAATTTCTCCTCGCATTTGGCGAGCGGCTTTTTCAAGCCCTGATTTAGAATATCTTTAAGACCTATAGTATTTGGGATGTATCTGGTAGCAAGGCTTCCTGTGGCTGATCTTTTGAGACGCCTTAGTCCCATGCTAGCTATTTTTTTGTTTTTGATGACTTTCATGACCAGATGGGCCTGTGTTAAGACTTAAAGATACTCAAAAAAACACTCATGCGCTGCCTAGAATCCTCCAAACAAGTGAGAAAAGAAATTTACGTTCCCACCCAATGTGTTCCCACATCAAAATAAGGCAATATTTTAATTTAAATTTTTTTCTTTAACAAAAGAACACGTTTATTGAAAAAAAATACTAGTGGTGCACCGAAATGAAAATTCTGGTGCTGAAACCGATACTGAAAATTCAGAGTGCACGTGGCCAAAAACTGAACCGAAATGTTGGGCGGCACAGTGGCTTAGTGGTTAGCACATCTGCCTTGCAGTAAATGGGTCATGGGTTCGATTCCCGACCATGGCGCCTCCTGCATGGAGTTTGCATGTTCTCCCTGTGCTTGCGTGGGTTTCCTCCGGGTACTCCGGTTTCCTTCCACACTCCAAAGACATGCTGGCAGGTTAATTGGATCCTGTCTAAATTGGCCCTAGTATGTGTATGTATGAATGTAAGTTAGGGACTTTAGATTGTACACCCCTTGAGGGTTAGGGACTGATGTGAATGTTCAATATATATGTGTAAAGCGCTGCGTAAATTGACAGCGCTATATAAGTACCTGAAACAAAACAAAACAAACAAATGTCTGCGTATGAGGGGGTGGGGAGGCTCCAATTGTTTGTTTTTTGTTTTTTTTTGTATTTTTTTTTCTACTTTAATGTATATTTTTATTTTTTTTTACTTTAACGATTTTATTTCCATCACATAGGGGACCAGCAGGTCCTCTTTGTAGGGGGGAGGGGGGCAGTGTGTGCAAGGAGGAGGCAGGAGAGGAGCAGTGTTTACAGAAAGGCTCCCTCATTGGCTGTCACTATATGTCCGTGACTGTTTTTAAATGTAATTACCGGCTTTTTTTCTTCACTATAGCTCAGAGAATGAGCTGTCACTTTCCCTGGAGCTAAAGGAAACTAAGGGTCACTGGGTAATGTCACTGCGTGACCCAGCCCCTTTGTTTCCTTTAGCCCTCCAAGAATGACAGCTTCTTCTCTGAGCTATAGTAAAGGGAAAAAAAGCCAGTAATTACATTTAAAAAACGGCATTGTTTTTAAATGCAATTGCTGGCTTTTTTTTTTCTTCTGGCTGGCTATTTTCAGCCGTTATGTTTTGGCGGCCGAAATTTCGGTGCATCCCTATTAAATACAGTACAATAACTGTAGCATACATGGTCTAGCAATAGAACAAAAGTCAAACATCAGCTAATAATTGATCGTTGGTACTGTTAGGTGTATTACAAAAAATCAACATTGTCAAAGATGTAGCTGTGTACGTACACTGTTTAAGCAGTGGCGTTTCATGCCTTCAGTTTCGGAGGGCCCCACAATTACAACAACATATGGTACAAATAAGCACAAAAATATTTCCTCTATAATGAAAAGGACAAAATACATGCTGTGGATTTTAAGCATTTTAGTTTTTCAAGACAAACTCCCAGGTAGAAACTCTTATTTATATTCAGTATCAATCAAGTACATGTGTTTGGGGCCTGCAGCCACCTAGTCCATATTTTCTTATATTTATCTGGACAACCCCTATGTCCATATACAAGTTTCTTAAGGGATAGGGTAGAATTAACTTCTGCATCTCATTCGGTGAGCTAAGTGGGTATGGGGTGCATTTAGTGTTAGCTACAAGTTTGCGTGCAGCAAATAAATTCTTCCAAAGGAAAATCGTCATGTTTTTATCACTGTCAGGGTCTGGGAGTGACCCCAACAAACAGTGGCCCAGGCGCAGTGCTAAGGGAGAAGAAAATAATACCATGTTTAAGTGAATCAGTGTTTTGCTGCCCATAGTATACCTTGACTACCTACATGAAAAATCAATAAAAATAGTATAAATTATAACAATAATATATTAAGGTGCCACAAAATCTACAAAATTAATCCAGTGTAATTTTATATAAGTGATCAATCATAAGTCAAACATATTAAAGTCCCAATATTACAAAGCACAACAATATTACTGTATATCACTGTGACTTCTTACTAGTCCTCTAATTTCAGCTATAAATTGGATAGTGCTTCACCACCATCCAGAGTGGCCGCTCACCTCAATTAGAGACCAATAAATCTTATAGTTCATAACGTGCTAAACCACCTCCCGCCCGCCATATAGTAATATGATGGACGCAAGGTGGTTGTCTCGTTCTGGGAGGACGTCATATGGCGTCCTCCCATTCTCACCGCACATGCGCGGCTCAGGAAGCGCGCAGCGCGGCTATCGGCGGTGCGCTGTGTCCCTCGGACACAGTGGATCACCGATCACGGAAAGAGCCAAAGATGTCGGCTCGGTCATGTGATCAGCTGTGTCCAATCACAGCTGATCACATGTAAAGAGGGAAATGCCGGTTATCGGCATTTCTCTCCTCTCGAGCTGTCACGCTGACAGCTCGAGAGGAGAGTCGGTAATTGGCTTTCCGCTGAGGGGACATGTACACTGATCATCAGGGCATTGATGCTCAGTGTGCCCTGATGATCAGTGTAACCCCAGCAGTGCCACCTGTCAGTGTCCATCAGTGCCTCGTGCCAGTGCCCATCAGTGCCACATCAATGCCACATATCCGTGCCTACCAGTGCACATCAATGTCACATATCAGTGCCCATCGGAGCTGCCTTTCAGTGTCACCCATCAGTGCCAGTCAGTGCCATCTATCAGTGCTGCCAGTCAGTGCCATATATCAGTGCCAGTCAGTGCCACCTATCAGTGCTGCCAGTCAGTGCCATATATCAGTGCCATGTATCAGTGCTGCCTTTCAGTGCCCATCAGTGATGCCTGTCAATGCCTATCAGTGCCACCTACCAGTGCCTCCTCATCAGTGTCCATCAGTGCAGCCCATGAATGCCCATCACTGCAGCCTCATTAGCGCATATCAGTGAAAGGGTTGATGATCCTTGGAATAAAATGTGTATATTCCTTTAGGAAGCCCGTAAACATCCACTTGGCCAGCCCAATAAAATCTCATAAGGAGAAAATGTCCAAGAATAGTGCAGTATTTTTTTTTAATAAAATGACTTAAAATACAATTACAGAGAGTCAAAAAGACTCGAGCATCGCTTTCAGAGAACGGCATCCTGCCGCTTGTTCCGGTTTCCATCTACACTGGAAATGGAGATAGACTCCACCTAGGGTAATAGAGCATTGTCTCACTGTGCACTATGAAAACTGCTATAGAGGTTGTGGTTAAATAGAAACCTGTTTAACTGCCACTAGAGGATGTATACAACTATTTTAGTAACATCAGAGGGATCCTCGCCCACTCAGTTAGTGACTGACAGTAAATTATATATGAAGGAGAGGCTATGTGAGATATAGGTGGGATAGAGTACATCATATGGATATATGCATATAGATGCGCATTTAGTTTGGAACATGTATGCTGAGTGTGTTGAGTATTTGTATTCTTGCTAAAATCATTAGAATAAGAGCGTAGGATTCTGAATGGACTCGTAGGATTTTTATATTTTGTGCATAGTCTGCTGGACTTGTTATCTGTTTCTAGAAATCGATAAACACTACACTGTCTGCGAAAACGAGGTTGTCTGGAACTTGCTTGAAGGTTCCATTCCACCCTCTTTTTCCCATTGGATCTATGTCCATTTATCACAACTTTGATTACATTTTCTTTGCTCCTCTATTGACCTGTTTTCCTTCCAGTGCTCAGTGAAATACCTGGTACGTCTAGTTATAGGGAAGCATGTTATTCTGTCCCCTTCTGACCACATTGCAGTGCTTGGTGCCACAGCACCCAGTCATTGGGCCTTAGCCTTCACCTAAGGGAATTCAGAGAGGGCTGTGGGTATGCATCCAACAGATTGATCTGGAGATCAAAAGTTACTTTTCACAAGTCTCCAGTTGGTGACCGGAGTGGTGGGGAGTGCAGGCTATTAAGTGAACCTGCAAACAGATTCAATTTGAGGCTATTGAGAAAACCATAGCTCTCTAAATGTTTGCTGCTGAAATGAAGTTCTTTAGCCTAGTATTTAAAGCAGAGCTCCAGGCAAAGGAATAAATGCAGCATGAGACTGCTGGAGTTGGGCTTAAATGCTCTACCGCATAACTAAAACTTCATCTATCAGTTTTGGGTGAAGAGTCCTGATTAATGCACATTTTGTGGTATTGGTTGCTTGCATCTTCTCCCTCTCTGTCTTTAACAGCCTATCTTGTGCTTTATTCTGCTTGCTGAACCTCTTCATGCATATAATCCCTCTATTTGCAGAACCTTTCCTGCCTGCGGGAACCCCCTTTACATGTTATGTTTGTTCCCCCAATCTCATTTCACCTTGCAGATATGTAATCATCTTCCTTTTTGCTCATTTAGCATTATGCATTACGTTCCATGTTAATAACTGCCTGTCAAAGCTTTAGAGCACCTAATCAATACTGTCCCTCCTGCTATGTTCTACTGCAGAAGGTAGGCCGTCGCAAGAACCGAAAATGTGGCACGTGTGAGGCCTGCCAAAGGAAACAGGACTGTGGCGATTGTGACTTCTGCCAGGACAAGCCCAAATTCGGTGGCCGTAATCTTAAGCGGCAGAAGTGTCGCTGGCGCCAGTGTCTGCGGTTTGCCGCGGTGGGTTTTGTAGCTTAACCCCTTTGTGACCAGAGGTCATTGAAGCCTAGATTCCCAGACCAAATTTACCGTATACCTACATTTTTACTTTTTGTTTTTGTTACTCTTTTTAATAAATACTTTGCCCTGCTTTTTTTCTTTTTTTTATTATAGCCTAACAAAAATGTAATAGTACATTTTTTTTTTTTACAAATAAGTTTGATTAAACACTTTATTTGTGCATTGTACGTTTTTCCCTCTGTGCAGGAAGAGTGGCACAGTGCCATCTACAAGAGAGGTGTGTTTGTAAATAAACCCTCCATCCTGCTTGTGATTACCATGATTGGCTGTCATGATGATCACATGGTCAGGGACCATGCTGATTGTTTGCCAGTTGTTGGTCTAAGACTTGCAGCTGTCATACACAGCATGGTCTCTAAACTAGCAGAGATCATGCTGGTGTATAGTGCTACTTCAAGCTACTAATACACAGCTGCATCGTAGAGTAAATTCCCACAGAACTGAGAACCGTGCCTGAAAAATGTAATGTGCTGAATGCAATGGGTAAATGGTAGCCTAATGAAATAGAGCGAAGATACTCACACCAGGTCCCTTGCTATTCTTTGTTTTTGAATGTTAAGGTTTTTTTTTTGTGAGTGTTTAAGTTTGGATATAAGTTTTTCTTTAAAGGTGTGCTAGTCAAACAAAGGATTTGCATTTAAACTCATTAAGCGGACTCAGTCTGTCTGATAATTGGCCGTTGTTCCAATCATGGCTTTTAGTTTATACACAGGATGTTCAGTATGTATAGTCCGACGCCGAGACATGTAGTTTCAGGCAGGTCGTTTTTTTAAACCTTTAGCCCTGCTGTGGGCAAGCTGCAGGGTCACCTGTCAGGTGGAAGCATTCAGGCGGCAGAGATGCCGCCGATTGTTTCCACACAGCCCACTAAAGTGCCATCCTCCTTATGACGTCACTTCCGGGTCCCCATTGACAGATTTCCCCAGCCATCGAGGCCACCCCCACCCCCACATATACGCACGTACAAACATAAAAACACATACCGGGACACCTACGCATGAAAAATTTAATTATGAAACATATTGTTACATATTGCTGCGCACGCCAGGATGAGAGCAATATTTCTAGCACCAGACCTCTTCTCTAACACTAAACTTGTGATGAATAAGGGGCTTTAAAAGCGTCATGTATTATTATACAGGATTTATATAGCGCCAACAGTTTGCGCAGCAATTTACAATATAAAGGGAGACAATACAGCAACAATACAGTTCAGTACAAGAGGGATAGAAGGGCCCTGCTCCTTGGAGCGTACAATCTAGGTATAGAAAATATAGGTACTAAAGTTTGTCTCCATTTCACGGGCAGATGTGCAACCTCATCTTTTATATTTTACTAAAAAAAATGGGTCATTTTATTGCTGTTTTGTGCCCTAAAATTAAGTATTTTTTACAGAAATGTTGTGTTTCCTAGACGATTGTGTGATATAAATTGGAACTACCACAATTTTATTCTCTAGGATATCTGCTTTCAGGAACTATATGATGTTTGGGGATTTTATGTAATCTTCAGGCCTAAAATGATTTTTTAAATGTGTGCTAAAAAGGCTCTGGCAGCGAAAAGGATAAGCCCAACACTCCCGATTCCTGATTAGCACCCAATCAATGCTCATTACACTGCAAGGTCTCTCTCCTCCCTGCTAGTCCTTGGCTGCAGTGCTGGAGGCAGGGAGTTGAGGAGGAGATAAACAGCACAATGTTAGAAATATTAAATGTTTAAGTCGCCATAAAGCCCCTTTTGTCTTTTAAAAGCCCCAGGCCTTCCTAAAAGCCCCTCAGATTTAAATACGGTTTTAATTAAAAGTTTTTTTGTTTTTATCAGGACAAGTAGATTGTCATGAGGGACAAGTAGATTTGGACACCGATTTAGTCCATGGACAAGTAGTTTTTTCAAACATTTCCACACCCCTGTATACAACAGGCTGCCTTGCTGGTTAACTCCTTATGGATTTCATACTGATTCTTAAAGGGAATCCTGTGCCTTCCTCTTACCTGGCAAATTAGCCCCATGCAAGCTTACTTTGAGAAAGTTCCACAAAACTTTATAAAACCTAAGTTGACATGATTTTGCTTTAGATTTCCCCTCACACATCCCTGTTGATAACCGCTAAATATAGTGGGTGGATTCATTGGACAGTAGGTGACTATAGGAGGATGTGAACCAGTGCATCACCTTGCCTATGTTTGCTGTGTTTTTGTTTTTTAACTTTACCTTCATTCCACAGAAAAGTACATATACTGTAAAAACAAACACCCTAAGTATAGTGTACAACAGATAGATGTTAAAGCTCTGTGTGTTGTGGTGCGATGTATTTTCAAAAATAGTAACCGTATGCAGTTCTTTTAGCATGTATGTCAAGCCACAAACTTTAAAAAAAAAAAAAAAAAAAAGTTTTTAGCATAAATGTTAAGCAAATTTTTGTTGATAGTCTTTTGAAAAATGTCTTACCTTGCGATACTTCCAGTAATAGCATTTCTCTTTGCGGGCTTACAGCTAAGCCACTGTCTCACAATTACCAATTGTTGTCAACCTGCCTATTGGGATAGACAGCCTTATAGTCAACTGAAGGAGCTTAGTAGTTCCAGCAAGAGATGACACATAAACCTTAATCCTTCAGGACACTTTTTTTTTTTTTTTTTTTAGTACTAAGGACTAATCCCATTGCTAGGATATGATGTGCTTCCCAGCATCCCTCATGGCTGACCATTCCATGCCACACGCTTTCAGTTCTTTTGCCAGCTGTGGTTTGGGGTTTCCTCTTTGTACGAATAAAGTTTTAGCTATGTAAAAGCTCTGCTTGCTTTTTTGGTAATGGAAATTCTCTGCTTACAATTTGCTTAAACTCTTCATGATTTATGTTTTAGGAAAAAAATATCCCTGTGAATCTCAAGTCTAGCAATCACCCTGTGATCCTGGAGCGACTTCAGAGAGAGAAATTGGCTGCTGATGATGAGAAAATGGAGATGTTGGTTAGTTTCACTCTCACAAGAGCTGAGCGCTACAATTGTTCTTCGTCAGACAGCTTTTTTTTTTCCTTGCATACATAGTTACATAGTCTTGCTGAAAAAAGACAAAAGTCCACCCAGTTCAACCATAGGAAAAAAAAAAGTTATAATCCTATACCCACAGTTGATCCAGAGGAAGGCAAAAAAACCCCAGCAAAGCATGATCCAATTTGCTCCTGCTGGGAAAAAAATTCCTTCCTGATCCGCAGAGAGGCAATCGGATATTCCCTGGATCAACTTTACCTATAAATGTTAGTATCCAGTTATATTCTGTGTATCTAAGAAAGAATCCAGGTCTTTTTTGAAGCAATCCACTGAGCTCTCACTGTGAAGAAACCTTTCCATGTTTGGAGATTAAAATTCTTTTCCACCGGACGTAAAGAGTGCCCCCTTGTCCTCTGTGATGACCTCAGGGTGAATAGCTCTACACCGAGTTCACTATATGAACCACTGATGTATTTATACATGTTGATCATATCCCCCCTTAATCTCCTCTTCTCAAGAGAGAATAAATTCAGTTCCTCTAATCTTTCCTCATAGCTGGTCTTCTCCATGCTTCGTATCAGTTTAGTTGCCCTTCTCTGTACTTTCTCCAGTTCCCCAATGTTCTTTTTGTGAATTGGTGCCCAAAACTGAACTGCATATTCCAGATGAGGTCTCACTAATGATTTGTACAGGGGTAATATGATATCTCGCTCTCTACATTTATCATTTTACTGTCGTCCTCTAGAAACAGGAACTGAAGCTTACTCCCCGGCTGCCGATTATTAGGCTGGAACGATTGGATTACAGAAATGGAAAATACACATCAACAGAGGTAAGTATCACACAAATTAAAGGTACATGTCCGGCGGAACTGAAAATGAAGCCTGAAAATTCACACAGAGAGCATATCCTATCTGCTCTCAGCTTCAGTCTCCCTGCTTTCGTTTGGGATCATCTTTTGCTTACTTTCAAAGCAGGAGTAGTGTTCCCAAGCATATTCACTGCATTTTCTCTAAGGCACCTGTAAAGTTGTAAACTGTTTTGGGAGTTTGAATTGAAGTTGGGATTCAACATGCAGGCAGAAAGGACGTTGCACAGACACCCTTCAGAAAAAGGACTTGCCCAGTTGGGAGGAATAAAATGAGAGTGGAGTGAATCCTCTCATACATTTGATGTGACCAGTTCTGATGTGATTCATCTTTTAGTAATCATTTTTATTACTTTATTGCAGACACTTGGCTCACGTTTTGATACCTGATGCACATCACTAACATTTGTTGATTGTTTCCAAGACATAAAGGGTGAACTGAGCTAAATTGAGCTAAACAAAACAATAAAGGCAAAAGAAAAAATTGTGTGCTGCCAAATAATGAAAATAATACTAGATGAGCTGCTGCAAACAGGTGTTATGTGTGTAAACATAAAAAACAGACTAAAACAAATGAAAGTGTCGCGCTGCTAGCATAAGTCAATACATGTAAATATACAAACAAAACGGTGACTGATAGTCCCAAAAAAATTATGAAACAAAAAATAAATGCAATTCTTCAAAAAAAAATCCAAATAAGTGAAAAAATCTTCCTGCTGGTGATTGCACCCAAATTCCCAGTGCTGTAAATCTTCAATACATGTGAATCACCACAGTGAACATAGACTTCTGGTGGACTCTTACCTTCTCGCATGGATCTGTATGTGGACACAGATAAAACAAAGCATCTCCCCTGCTAGTGGGGGTAACACATAACTTGCTCCTCTGTGCACTCTTCCCCTTATGAATCACCATTGGACCTTCACAAATGGTACCCGATTTCAGTACAGCCAACTCTGGATAAAGCTCGACAACCACAAAGTAGACCATAGTGCAGTAGGCTTCTTTAAAAGGCATATATTTATTAAAGCATATGAACTCACATGATAATGGTGTTAAAAATGCATGAAACAGTAGTCAGAATCAAACAATGGAGAGCAAGACCCTGCCTGTTGGAACAATGTAGGAGCGCTGACGTCACCTGACTTCTTATGCGTATCGTCACACACCACGTGACTTCATCAGAGGTAGCTCCCCGATGAAGTCACGTGATGATGATGACATTGTACTGGCAGCGTGCAGTAAATTTGTTTAAAAATGTTACTTTCCCTTAATGAGAACTTGTTAAAAAAACAATTTAACATCAGTCCCTAAGAATGTGTACCACAAAGTGTCTGAACTAATCTAGTTGTTAGCAAATCTTGTTTGGTGTGGTACTGGAGCCCCCAAAGCTAGATATATTCTGCAGGCAGCAACAATTCTGGCCCCAAGTTGTCCATTTTCTATTCTGTTTCCATACCCTATTTATAACTGAAACTGTATGCAGGCACTTTGTAGTGTCTGCTTCTTAGGTTATGGCTTGAGATGTTTTAAATTTTTGTTTAACCCCTTGGTGCCGGCGCCTCCCGGCCCTTTAAGGGTTTCAGGGGGCGGGGTTTTAGGGTCATGTGACTGCTGTGATTTGCTGTCACAGCGGTCACATGATCAGGAAAGGTCCTGATCGCAAGAGGAGATCGGGACCTTTCCGTGAGTACCGGACATGTGTGCTGGGAGCACGCAGGGCGTGCGCTCTCAGCACATGTTTTTCTTAATTGCACGCAAATGTGCGGCCGCTCAACGTCAAGGCCCAGACACCGGGAGGCCGCACATTTGCTTTCGGCCGGCGCCAAGAGGTTAAAATAATGATAAAAAGCCTGAGTGCATGCTGTAGGACAATGTCTATTTTTTTCAGTCTTGACAAGACTTGGCATGCCCTATCCATGTCCCTAGGATTCCCAACATTTTCCATGCAAGAAAATTGTGCTGCACGACATAAGAATCTGGCTTCACTGTTCACCAGTTTGTCTAAACTGTGCTGGAGGGATCTCAAAAGAGTGCTGTGCACACTGCAAAAAGACCTATTCTGTCAGATAAAATGTGCAGAAGGTTGAAAGATACTTAGAAGTTAGGTGAAATGTAGAGGACAATAAAAATAATTGTAGAGCAAATTAAAGGATAAGTTCACCTATGGAACATGTTAAATATTCCACCCATATTTAGGGTGAAACTTATTCCGGCTCCTGCATCCTCTCCCCCAAACCCCCTTCCCTGTGACAGTAGGCAGGGGATCCTCTCCTTGCACCTACTGGCAGAATTTAAAAACCGCCTGTCTGTGTACGGCTCCGCCCACATGGCCACATCATTCATTCACAGATTTCTGAATGAACTACAAAGTAGCATTGGCTACCACAGCCAATGGTTTCCAGTTTTCAATGAACAATGAGCGTGCTGGTGAGTGCTCTCATAGTTCATTGATTCTTCCTGCAATTCAGCAACTGAAGCTGACTGAGAGTTTGCAGGAGCCTGGCATTGTACCCTTGATCTGTTAAAGGCAGGTGCAATGCTGTACAGGCTGCAATGTAAAATAAATAAATAAATGCACTTTTTATTTTATTTTTTTTTTTTACCTGCCAAAAAAAAAACTTTTATTGTATGTGCAAGCAAAATGGCCACCTGCACACAGAAACACAGTGCAGAACAAGTCATGGCAAGTCAGTTTTTGGGACAGAGTCAACTGTAGGGAGCCAACAGGCAAAACCTTTGACTAAGTCCTCTGCCTGCTTTTTAGAATTCAGGTCCTCTTTAAGCTGCTAAATTTGGCAGTTGTAGTACTATAAAGCTCTAAAAGGATTTCACATTAACTGGCTAGTCTGCAGAACAGTGCTCATGGTGTGTCAGGACTTGATTTTTCATTTCGGAGATCTTGTGTTTCTGGAGATCTTTAATATACTGAAAGTCCATGAGTTATCATTTATTGGCTAGTTTCAAAGAAGGTGGCTTTTGTAGCTTCCTTGTAGCAAGGAGTTTGTAACTCTGTAACATGGCCACAAATCACCCTGGGTTTACACCCTGTTGGGATTATTTAGTGGTTTCCTAACATGTATTTTTGTTGCAGGATGGTGGTGGCTGGATCATTGGCAAAGTGGAGACCAAACCAGTAAAACAGGAGTGCAAAGAGAGTGACATAGTTGTACAGGAAATTCAAGAAGAGCCTCTGGTAGGCTGTATTTTTGATGCATTAGTACGAAATTGCAGCTTTAAATCTTCTTTTGCTAATAGTTTGCATCCTCACAACTGTTACAGAATCTTCACTGCCCGGTGAAATCAGAAGAGTTTATTGTAGAGACGGACGACGTAGAGGCAGCTGATGAGAGCACTCCTGTGGTTAGTTGGAAAATTTGTCTTGTTTTATTTTTTGTTCATTTCTGACAATAAAAACAGCATTAGCGCTGATACTAAATCTAGGCAAGTGATAATCTCTGACTTTCAAAAGATGAGCACCGGAACTGTTAGTAATATCTTGTATATGTGAAAATAGATTGCCTTCTGCAATTATATACATTTTGTTAAAAAAAAAAAAGTTGTGGGGTTAACCGCTTGCCCACTGCCCTATAGCATAAATACTGGTACAGGGCGGCAGGGCTGCGCAGAATCACGTGTGTGTATATATGCGTGATTTGCATTTCCGGGTAAGGAGCATGTGCTTTCCACCCTACCAGTGCTTTCATTAGAGGCTAGGCATGTCAATTACTGGGTCCCAGCCAGAGATTCCCCACCGGCACCCGCCGTTCGCTGTGCAAAGCTGATTGGTGTGAGACTTGTGTGTAAATAACACACATCTCTCTCCTGCCCGCAAAGACATGTTCTTTTGTATTGCTCTGCACAGCAGGGAAATACAAAACAGCATGTCTCCAAGGTAAAACAGCACATAGTTAACCCTTTGATCACCCTAGATGTTAACCCCTTCCTGCCCAGTCATTAGTACAGTGTCAGTGCTGTTTATTAGCACTGATTACTGTATTAATGTCACTGGGGATGTCAGTGGCAGTTCCCACCCAGTGTCAGAATGCCCGCCGCAGTCCCACTGTAAGTCGCTGAT